TTGTTAAGTTCCATCATTTAAATATTATAGGTGTGTAAACTCAGCAAAATATTCTAAGAGTTCAGTAGTCCATAATAGTACTGGGTCTTCCGCTTGACTGGCAATGTCAGAAATTGTTGACCTGAGTCCCCTACAGCTCAACATAATACCATGGCTTTACTTCTTATACTTTGTTTTTATACTTTTCTGTGGATTTAATCACTTTAACTGAGCAAATGGTGCTTGTAATCTCATTGGTTGATCATAGTTTTGTCCCACCTCATGCCCACCTAAGTGAGTTCCCATGTCTTTTCCACCACTTTAGACCCACCTCATCACATGGTTTTACTCTATAAAAGTCGCTGGAAGAGGCAGCTTCCTGGGGACCACCCAGTGGGGGGAGGGGGGCTTCTGTCCCTCTCTCGGAAAGGAGCTTTCTTTCCCCTAGTAAATATATTCAGCTAATAACATCCGTTTGTTCCTAAAATTTATTCTTTGGTTTTAGAGAACATGAACTTGTCCCAGGTACCTTTTAGGTTGGAAGATCATTTTCCCCCTGTACCATTTGGAGATTATGCACCCCGACATCAGTTTTTTGCTCGCTGTGTCAAGATCATACCCACAGCCCTAGAATGGAAAACAGTAGGTAAGAGATGACATTTATATTTATATAACCTTCTCTGAACCTCTTGCACAAAGCACTATTAGTTTGATCCTCAGTACCAAAAAAAGGAGAGATTCAAAGGTCTAACATAGATGAACTGCAAAATTACATGAAATGAAACTGTCCTGAAGACATTAAAAAAATTAGCTGGCAATATTAAGCTATTGCCATTATTGTAATGCCAGGGAAGAAACAGAGAGATCAGTAATAATTATTTTATTTTATTTTTTGGCAGAACCAGGGATTGAACTCAGACCCTTGCACTTGCTAGGCAAGCACTTGTTCTACTGAGCCATCTCCCCAGCCCCTAGATCAGTAACAATAATTTTAAAATCACACATTTGCTCATTTGGACCAGATATAATGAGGAACAGATGTTCTCTACAAGTTCATTTTCAAGACAATTAAAATTACCCAACTTGTTCCAACATTTTATGCAACAAGATACTATACTGAGTTATTTAATAATTTCTTCCATATTCTGATATGAAAGAAACATTTTGCAGCTTTTCATCTTTTCTGCCTCCCATCAGCCAGCCAGTTATAGTCAATGGAGGGTTAGATCCCCCAAACCATCCATACCCCTAAGTGGAGGAACAAGTTAATTACAGATTCTATTTTCCAAGGAAAACATTAAAGATAATCTCCATTCCCACACCTTCATAAACATTAGATCCCAGAAGAAATTACACAAGAACTTTTATAATATTGAGATAAATAACACAGAGAATAAGGGACTTCCTAAGACTGCGGAAACTGAAGTGCTTTCCGATTTTGTAACAGAGATATGTGTAGTTCATCCTTGCTGAAATCCACACATGACTAGGCTAGGGCAGGGAGTGGAGGTCTATGGAGATGGATATCAAGTGCTATAAGTTTCAAAGCAATGATTATGCATTCTTTGTCTCAGTCCATGATCAGTGGGGAGGACATATGATAAAAAATATCATTACAGGGGCCAGGAAGATGGCTCAGTAGAATAAGCACTTCCCTGGCAAGTGCAAAGGCCTGAGTTCAATCCCTGGTTCCACAAAAAAAAAAAAAAA